AACAGGGACTCGAGGATCGACTCGGACTTCTACAACTGTGTCTGGCCATTGTTGCAAAGACACAGATGGGAGAAGCGGAGGAGACGATGGGTGCAGGAGCGTCTACTAGCAAAAGCGGCGAAGCTCAGCTACAAGAGACAGCTGTTGTGGACCGTGCACCCACGCCTGCATGGGTAAGACCGCACTCTAAAATCCGCTATGGATCGAGAGGCGGCACTCACACTTTTAGAACAATTACTTGCTTAAGCGAGAGGCTAGTGTGAGTACGAAAAAGCTCAGAGATCTATGTTGTTGGGCTAAGGAAAAAGGACACTTTAAGGACCCACAGCTAATGTTTGGTGCTACTGAATGGAGAAGTTGGGACCTCTTTGTTGGACGCTACCATTGAAGGGAATAAAACTGCTAAAGAGGTGGTGAAGCTCCTCCAACACATTCTCTCTAAGAGAGGACTGCAATATGATAGTGCCACCTTACAGAGGCTGTTAAAGTGGTCCTGTGATCGTGAGGTTAGTAAAGGGACCAAAGATGCACAGAAACACTACACTTTGGAGACTGGTGTTTGAGACTTTGAAAGAGATGAAATTGGAAAGGGCGGCGGTAGCTTCTGTATTTGCCGCCCACAGCTCCAGAAGGGGCTGTCTCCCCTTACCCCCATCATAGTGTTCCCGTGGTACCTGGAAAGGTGCTGAAAAAATCAATGCCCCAAGCTGATGAAAGCAAGAGCCAGGTCCACAGATGGCCACATACCGAACAAGAGACACCTGACAAGAAAGACATAGCTGCGAACAATGCAGACCCTGAGTTTGACCCAGGATCAGGCTCCAAGTCTCCTGAATCCGAGCCAGATTTATATCCTCTGCTTCCAGAGGATCTTCCTTTGTCTCCCGGGTCGGTCTGCTCAGCTCATCAGCAACTACTCACTGGCCTTGGAGACGCTCAGCTGCAACTATTGATGAAAAAGCTTGGAGCCCTCGAGACTCAGATTGACACATCTCTATTTGTGCCTCCACCTTATCCTCCGTAAAACCCCTTCCTTAAGGAAGGCAAACAGGGGGAGGGGGTGGGAGAGGTATCGGGGGGCACAAATCCCACACGCCATTGGCACAGGTTAATCAAAGATGCGATTATTACAGGTGAATTTTCTGCAATGGGCCTCTCTGCATATCCTGTGTTTACTACACAGCAGGGGGTAAAGAGTGGGAAGCTTTTGATCTCAAAATAGTTAAGGAGGACTGACAAGCGGTGACCACATATGGGTTAAAATCTTCTTATACTCAAGCTGTATATGTTTGTTGTTTTTTTTTGTGATTGATAGGAGACTTTAATGACCCCCCTGCTATAACACATGGTCAGGCATTAGGTTCAGGTTATATGACTAAAACTCCGGGTATTCTGGTCCAGTACAAGGATTTAGAAACCGGCATTTGGAAAGGTCCTGCGGAAGTAAAACTAACTGGTCGAGGTTATATGTGTGTAATTACAGATTCTGGTCTGCGGTGGGTGCCAGCTCAGTGGGTGAAACCCCGGAAAGAGTTAGCACCGCCCAAGGAGAGCCAGGACACCCCCCTTGTCAGTGACTGAATGAATTGAAATTTGAGCTTAGGACATCTGTTTTATGGATGTTTTCAGTCCTTCTTAAAGTGAAGGGAGCAACCTTTTTTACGTTAAAGTAAACCAAAAAACAAACAACCCACTCACCATCCCCCCCCCCAACCTCCAGGGAAGCGAGACCAGCGTGGGATACAGATGTATTGTGTACTTTTCCGGTGGTGGGAAGGTCTCTTGTATGCTCTTATCAGGGGTATTGGGCATACTGTGACGGACCGTGGACTTGGGACCCCATATACAACTCATTTGATACAGTCTCTCTGTGATACTCACGCACTAGAAGTTGGTAAACATAAGTATGTCCATGTTTCTATCGACCTTTGGAGACCTTTATAGATATTGCTGGCCACTTCTTCCAACACAGGCTGGCCACCTGTGTCGAAATGAGTGTGCATTTTGGTCAGTATAATAGCCCAGGCCTCATGCAATGTGGGGGAGGCAGAGCCTCTGCGGGGACGCCCGCTAAGGTTGAGCCTGCCACTTCGCACTGCAGTGATGCTTCTCGGAGTTGGTTTCGTTAGTTTCCACAGGGTCCTTGTGCCACGTTCTGTACGTGGGACTGTAGCGGGAGTAATGATTGTCTGGATTTTGTGCTTCAAATACTGTAGTTGTGTGGCGTGTGCTTGTGGGATCCCATACGTGTGTGTGTGTGTTGAGGGCAGACGGTGTTCTGTGTATTTTTTTGTTGGGTTCATGTAAAAGTTTTTAACGGGTAGCAGTTTAACATTTCGGGCAAGAAAGGGTTAATGCAAAAGCGCAGCTGCCGGCAGGTATTTATGGTTGCTGCTGAAGCAGGCAGGCAGCTGTAGCTGCTGCCGAGCAGGCCGGCGTTTGTAGCCGTGCAAAGCAGAGTGAGCGACTTCGAAAAAAAACAAACAAAACAAAAGCTGCCCTCCGATTCGGCTCCAGGTGCTCCACTAGTGGAACGGCCAAGATGGACGCCAGAGCCGAGGAGTGAAAAAACACAAACAAACAAAAAGGGCAATGATGCAGCAAACTCCGCGACTGTTAACAATGTGCAGTTTAACCTGTCTGCTTCTCAAGAACTGATAACCTGGAGGAGGGGGTATATTTGTGTCCTCCTGCCTACAGGTCCATGGCAACTGCCTGCAAAGTTTGTCAAGCCTTGCCATGAGCTGGACAGACGAATGGAGGAGCCTGATGCCTCAGCTACAGGAGCTGACCGTGAATACCCCAAGCAGAATGAGATGGAGGAAGAGAAAAACAAATGACTGCAAAACATCACTTGGGGGCAAATGAAAAGTAACATCCTGAATACGTGTGCTTGTAAAGTAGCTATTATTAGAGGCTGTGATTTTGTGTATAAACCACCTGTATTTACAAGCCAGTTGCTAATAAGAAACTACACCTTGTATAGATTTGTCACTTGTAAAAGAGATGTTAGAGTATGGAAATTTGCAGTAGCTGCTAGAAAATGCTAAGGCAAAAGCTAGAAAGATTTTAATACAATGGCAGTGTTATAAAGTAGGTAATGGAACAAATTAAGAGGGTGGGAGAATTCCACTGGTAAGAAATTTCTTTGGCTAGTCCCTTGCTGCCATCAGCATCTTCAACACACTGCTGCACCCTGTAATAGTTACTCTGCTAATGTAAATTTGTGTGTGCCTTGCTGTAGTAGCAACTTGTTACTGGATGAAGCAGGTGAAACTGTGCATTGACAACAAGGTGCAAGGACAGAGGCTGACCAAATGCCTGCTACCACAATCAAGGGCAAGACTGGGTTGGCCTCTGTGTTTGCCACCAAGAAGAACCTTTAGCTCCGCTGTTGGCTGCAACCCAGCATGCGTGGAGCGGTGGGGACACATGCCATGCCAGACCTTGATGTGAAAGATGGCCTCCCCTGTTATCAGAGAGCCATACAGCAGAAAAAAGGGGCAGGCCCGGCAGCCTCTAGTTGGCATATGTTGGAGATATTACCTAGCCCAGATCCCCTGCTCAAGTAGGGTCATTCAAAACATATATAAAACAAAAAGGGGGAAGATGTGGAGACAGTGTTCTCACGGGAGAATGCATAATTGGTACATAAACTCTGAGTAATCCTGAAAGATACAGCAAGGCCATGAGAGGCCCGAGGAAGCTTAAGCAAGCAAGATAGGACGAAGCTGGAATTCACCAAGTTAATGAGAACTGTGGACTGTTGGCAAGCTTTTGAGGTTGAGTTCTCACACCTGTGTTTAACCAATTATATTTTAGTCACCAAGGGTCTTCAGGACATGTATCCAGTCATAATATGCCAAATCACTGTAAGTGCATGTAAGAAATAGTATATAAGGGGTTAAGGATTTGTATAAAATGAGCAAGAAGCATAACTCATATTGAGTCGTTCTCTTGATTCTGGTCGCTCTCTCCAACAATACAGAATACAACCGACTCGTTGTCGTGGTTTAAACCCATCTTGCAACTCAGTACCACACAGCTGCTTGCTCTCCCTCCCTTCCCTTGCCCGCTCTGCCCATGGGCAGGATGGAGAGGAGAATTGAAAGCATGTAAAACCTTCAGGTTAAGATAAGAACAGCTTAATGACTAAAGGTAAAATATAATAATAAGGGAAATAACACAGAGAGACATAAAACTGTAAGGGAAAAGGCAAGGCAAAAAGAAAAAAAATGAACCAAGCACAAAAATGTCGCCAAAACCTCCACCCAAAGCAACAACCAACACTGATGCATAACACAGTTGTTCGCTCACCCACTGACTGATGCCCAGCCCATCCCTGAGCAGCAATCAGCCCTTTGCAGCTAACTTTCCCAGTTTCTATACTAAGCATGACATGCTGGGGTATGGAATACCCCTTTGGCTGGTTTGGGTCGGGTGCCCTGTCTCTGCTTCTTCCCAGTTTCTTGTGCCCCTCCTCAGAGGCAGGCAGAGGACGAGACACTGAAAAGCCCTTGATCAAGGTAAGCAGTACTTAGCAACAACTGAAATATCGGTGTGTTATCGGCATGTTCTCAGACTAAAGCCAAACCATAGCGCTACACCAGCTATGAGGAAGAAAACTGTCTCGGCTGCAACCAGGACACTGGTTATAAGGGGGTAGGTTGGAGGAGTGGGGATTCTCCTCTAACTTCAGTCAAGGCAAATAACGTGATAACAGAATGCCCTTTAAACTTGGAACTCAGGAGGTTCTGCAGTGAACAGTGTTTAATTACTTTAAATTGTTCATAAGCTTGTTGCCTGGTTTCACTGTAAAATGACAACCTCTGTCCTCTTTACAGACGTAAAGTATGCTAAATAGAAGTAGAATTCTGCAAGGCTAGTGTTATGGCATTTAGAGAGCTAAAATAACTGAAAGCAGTGTTTTTAGTGACATTCAAAATACTGTGTATGCTAAGGCATTTTTGAATGCCCCCCTTTGACAATCCAGTTAATTATTTGCAAAAGTAAAATTTAGTTTGCACAGGTGGTGAAATCTTCATGGGCACAGTAATGAAGATGAGATTTAAAAGCTGGTTTTTCTTCCTAGTTATGATGTATTCAGGCAAACTCCTTGCAGAAGGTAAATACACTGAGTTCTGATGTTAATAAATGTACATTGAAACTAGAACATGCAATCTAGGTAACTGAAGTACAATGTCTTTCATATCTTTACCTAGAGTAAACACTGTTTTTTTAAGTATAATGTTGTTGTGAGATGGCTGATCATGATTCAGCTGTCACTGTAGCTCAGAGCTACAGATTCACATCTGAGTTTCAAAGCTGTAATATTGAAAGGTTCAGACTTTTATTCAGAAAAAATCTTCTTTTGAAACGTATTTGAGTGTTTTGCAGCATTTAAACAAATTGAATTTTGTACTCTTAAAATATTTTCTACACTGATGTGTCAGGAATTGAAATGTTTTGACTTTAACACAAAGCAAAACAGGGGAAATTAAATGGAACCTTGCAGAAGTTACTTTGAGGTGGTTCTGCATTTCCTATCCCTATTTTCAGGGGTGCTTAAAACTGCTGGGCTTCTATAGTTTACATACCACTTGAACTGCAAGGTCAGAGAGGTGTGGGCTGTATATAAGGCTGCAGCCCTATATACAAAAAGGTGACCTTTTTTCAACTTCCATTTTATACTACTGTATGTTTAACTCAAGAATATTTGTTGCAAACCACCTGTCTTTACTAGAGTTTTGTCCTTTACACAAAGCAGTTGAAATTATTCTGATGATACCCTTTGGAAAGCCAAAAAAGGTATGTAGGTAGCAACCATTTCTGTCTTTTAGTTACTTGAAAACCATAATTACCCTCAGGTTTGGTTTTGGTGTTGTTTTGGGGTGGTTTTATTGGTTGGGTTTTAGTTTGGGGTTGGGTTTTTTTTCCAATTTGTATGTAATAGAGTGGCTGTGTGAGGAAAGGAGTTATTAAAAAAAATAATTATCTTGGCAATTTGTATTTAGCAAAAATACAAAATTTGCAGAAAATTGCAGTAGTTGCAGTAAATTCTAGTGACATTACTGAGTGAAGAAGCAATAGTTTGTTATTTTGGTTTTAATGCGTAGGGTGAATGCAGCAGCGCCAACTTGTGGGAGAATTGCCCAATTCTAGTGAGATCCATAGGTGGTAATTCAGTTTTTAAAGCTTGATTCTTCAGGTTAGATTGCCTTGTAATGCCATGGAGAGAGTTTTTGAAATAACTTTGTAAGAAATAGAAACATTAGTATTGCTTTTTGGTACTTGTGGTGTTTGGGTTTTCCTTTTGTTTGTTTTGGGTTTTAAGTAGCTTCATGCCACATTCAGCACAATTCCCTTTAAAGGTGTTCTATTACTGTTTTGTCGTCTTCCTTTATTTGTTGTTCTGCTTGTTCTTTTCTAAACCTCAATTTCTTCTTTCTTTTCCTTTGATTATGATCTTAAATTCTCTTTCTTCAGCAACTTTAACTCCTTTATTTCCTTCTGGCAGTTTGTCATACTGTTCTGCTAACATTTACTTAATTAAGGAGCTATCACATAGCTAACCTTGACACTGTTGCCAGTGGATTTCAGAGCAGGCATCAGTATGTTTATGCAGCAAAGCGTGCTCATGTCTTCTGGTTTAAATATAGAGTCAAATAAACGTGTTCTGCATCATCATTGCCCAGTTCATATCAGGAAGTTTCATTCTACAGCTGATGTTCTTGTGAATGTAAAAAACTAATGTACCTGTAATATATCTTAATTTCAGTGAGTCTTAAAAGACCCTTCCTGCTTGCAAGTGTTCAGAATTTCATTTACCTTTTTTGAAAGCCTGAGTCAATGTAACTGATACTAAATAAACTAATGCAACAAAGCTTATATCTGGGCTGAGACTTTTAGTGAGATATATATTTACCCTTTTTTTTTTTTCAGATAAACCTTGTGATTTGCCACATATAGAAAATGGAAGGATTGCGCAGTACTACTATAATTTCAAAAGTCACTATTTCCCTATGCGTAAAGGAAAAAGGCTTTCCTATTCCTGTATGGTTGGTTATACAACTGAAACTGGGACTCAAGATGGAAGAATAACTTGTACTGCAAAAGGCTGGTCTCCAGTGCCACGCTGCTACAGTGAGTTAGCTTTATTAATCTCATCATTGCTTCTAGCAGGAAATTTTCTAGCAGCTGTATTTCCTGGAACATACAGGAGCAGGAGCTGCATAACAGGAGGGATAAAATGTATGTGTTAAGACAAGGTGAAATCAATCACTTATGTGTATAAACTACATCTTTATACATGGAATATGTTTACAATAATACATATTTTAAGGGCTTTAACCTAATATGTTTTTCAAAGAACACCAAGAAAGTTGCCCAGTGTCCTTATTTTGGGAAATAAGACAGTTTCCCCTCAGATGTATATCCTCTAAAGCCTCCCTAGCTCTAGGTTCCTTGATTGTCATGTTCCGTGTTATTACCATCAATTTGATGCATTGTTTGATGAATGTGGTAGAGTTTCTTCAGTAGGTCAAGACAAGATTAGATCAGAATAGCTGAAAGTCCCTTCTTTTGCTTATTAGAGAACAAGAATGTTCCGTTAATTCTTTCTACTCAAGCTGTCTCCTTTAATTTAGGAAAATGTAACAAGCCTCTTCTGGAGAATGGCGCTTTTTATGGTACAGAAAAGTATTTCAAAGTGCATGAGAAACTGCAATACAAATGTAATCCAGGCTACCACTCTCCAAGCGGTGGAACTGAAGATACAGTGCAATGTCAGTCAGGAAGATGGAGCTCACAGCCAAGCTGTACTAAAAAATTTGGTAGGATTCTGCATTTTTCTCCTTTATTATTTCTTATCTATATATAATTCTACTGTCCTTGCTGTACCTGTAAGGCCAAACTGCCTGTGTCAGGTTACAATCTGAGTACTCCCAAAGTAGGTTCTCAGCAGTACCTCATGGGAAGAAGTCAGATTTCACATGCTGCTAGTTTTGTAAATTTGTAGAGGTAAAATTACATGTAGAAGAAATCAGTATAGATGAAATCACATTGTTTCAGATAAAATCATCCAAACTTTCTTCCCAAATGATGACTAGAAAAGTCATGCAAACTACTGCATTTTTAATTCTTCGTTATTTATAAAGATTTCTGCAGAGTTTTGCCTTGGATATAACCACTTTTAAGGCGTATCTAAGGAAAATTTTAGCATAATACCTTGAAATGAAAAGAGTGACTAATATTATGCACATGTTTTATTTCTTTAAGAGTCATGCCAAGTACCAAGTTTACATCATGGCAATTACTTCACAGCCCAGCAAGAGCTTCAGCTGAATGAAACACTGCTATACAAATGTGACGAGGGATATCGTACTGCAGGAGGAAACACTACAGAAGAAGCAGTGTGCCTATCGCATGGCTGGTCCCTTCCTCCAAACTGCAGTAGTATGTAGTGAGCTGGAATATAAGTCAGCTTGAAATTTGATTTATCCTACAAATGAACAAAAAGGCTTGTTTTATAAGCTGTTGGGGGGCAGGGTGGGAAGGGGAAGGCTCCCTCAGCTGTTTTTCACTGCTTTATATTTTCTTCCTAGGAATAACTTGTTCCTCTTTGAGTGCAATAGCACATGGAGGTTTCTATCCCGTCAAGAAAATCTATGAAGAGGGAGATGTAGTCCATTTTTATTGTGAGGAAAATTATTCTGCCAGTGAATTTGACCTAATTCAATGTTATTATTTCGGATGGCATCCAGACCCTCCGGTGTGTGAAGGTACCTATTTTCGTAGTTTTAGTATGTCAAATTCTTAGTGAACACCTTCTTTCATGAAATGCTACATGAATACAAAATAAAAATACACTTTTTTGTACCTATTCACAATCCAAATAGAAATCAAGTGTTAGCTGAAAGGGCATGGAGCCAAGGTAGCAGGGAGGGAGACAATGGTACTTGGAATTAGTTCACAGCGGACTCTAACAGTAGAGTGGATTCTATCTCTTGCTGGTGCTTCTTTGTATGGTGGATCGTGGAGAAGCAGAAATCAATTACAGGGAAGTTGTTCAACCCCTGAATCTCAAGTTAAAGCATATTCAGATGACACAAAGGTTTAATCAAGCATGTTGAATCCTGCCTTATGAAGAGGTAACATGCCTCTTGAGATGCATTAAAAATAAAATCTTTGACAAGTTCCTCCTGATCTTGGGGAATTGTGGTCCTTTTCAGAGTTTTACAGCCTCACCAAACTGTATATGTTTTCAGCAGAATTTAACAAGAAAGGTAATCAGAAGCACAACTTTAGCAATTGCTATCACTGCCCCAGTAACTGGGGGAAAATAATGATTCTCAGAAAAGAAACTTGCAAAAGAATGAAAGGTCTAGTGAGCCAGGTGAGATATAAAAAACAGGAAAAGAATGGAACAAATCAACATCTAGGCTAGCTGAGAATTCATATTGTTCAGCATACCTTCATGTGGATATTGTCCCCTCTGTGGATTACTTCTGAGATTTAGGAGATCTCACTACCTCATGGTAACAAATTCTCTGATTTATATACAAAGGGTGCCACATTTTGATGACAGAGGATGGGACAATCAATCTTTTTTGTTGGTTTAAGTTAAACGTATGGTATTCTTTTCCAATATATTTTTACAGGATTTTTTCCCCATGAAGTATGTTTTTAAAGCAAATTTAATAATTGTTGTGTGGGTAGGATGGTGTGATATTAAAAATTATATTTAGCCTTTAAAAATATAGACGTGTTAAGCAGAATTTTCAGTAAAATCAGGTGTTTTTTGTAATTCCTTTATAGCTAATCTTGCAGAAGACTCTGATGGAGGGCAATGTTGAAAATCATTTTCCTTTCCTAGAAGATACTGTAGTGTTTAAAATGCACTAGAATATCTCAATTAAATGGCATGTGTTATTACCCCAGCTCTGTATTTATTCTGATGACACAGCAGGAATTTTTCTTGTGTGACGCAGAGAAGGTGGAGTCCTCAGAATGAAAACAAAGCCTCAATATAGTCTTGAGGATATTGCAGCTGTGAACTTAAGGCCAGGCTGGATGGGGCTTTGAGCAACCTGGTCTAGTGGAACTTGTCCCTGCCCATGGCAGATCTAGGTCTAATACATAAACTGCTTTAAAGAATGTATCAATGGAGTTTATGGGAAATCTCTATTCCCTGAAGTCCTTCAAAAAACATTTTAAGCCTATGTGGAGAAATTATAAAGTTGTTTACAGCAGTGCGTAGCATAAAAGCTCATATTTACTGAATGTAAAAATTACTGGGTTTTTTTTTCTGGTCTCCTATTTTGTTAAAAAGAGGGAGTAAGGAATTACTCTGGATCAACCACAGATGTCTTTTGAGTTATAGGTTTGCATTCTGTACAGTACAATTAATCGTGTATATGGTTTTGATTAGTGAGAAAATAGTATGCATTTTTTATTTTCAGATATAAAAAACAAATGTCCTCCACCACCACTTCCTCCTCATGCCCATATCGTCACAGATAGAACAACATATCATAATGGAGACAAAGTTCATATACATTGCCAAAGTACCTTTGAAATAAGAGGATCTGAGGAAATCAAGTGTGAAGAAGGAAAATGGACATCACCCCCTATCTGTATTGGTTAGTACTTTTGTGAAGATTGACAACTGAACAGAAACAAATCTTCAGACAATGCCTTATTTATCTGGAGAGGCTCAGTTGCCATATCTGCAAAACTGTTTATGTCCTCCTCTGTTAAAATTGTTGAGAGGTAAATTGCAATCTAATTGGTAGACAATTGGTTCTCAAATCAAAGAGAGAGGATGAGATAGGTGAATTCAAGTGACATGCATGTTATGTAGTTCTTCTCTTGAATATTGATTTTATTAGATCTTGCAATGCATCATGTGTTTGTTTTGGTATTTGAACATGAGTTATTTCTTAGTTTCTGCTCTGGTTCTGTTTCTGCTCTGGTTACAGGAACGGTTACAGGAACTGCTGATAAATCGGAATCTGAGGCATTACCATCACTTGAGGCAGATGCAGCAACAAGGGCAAGCAAAACATATCACAATGAAGATATGAGTATGTGGACATTGCTTTTCTATTTAAAAGGGTCTTTAATACTCTCCAATGATATTATAGGCATTTTACGACTATTACTACTCTTTTGCTGTAGTACAGTTTTTTACTCTTGAAAATATTTCCATGTGCTACAGATGTCAATGTAGCAGTCAGAATGAAAGGTCATTGTTGCCCTTTTCTAGTGATTGTAAACTACATCTATATGCTTTCTTTCTGTATTTATTATTTTATTTCATACATGGGCATTTACCTTCATTTTGTATCCTTTCTGTTAATGTTGTCTGAACTTGCAAATTCATGAGTATTTTGCTGATCCTTTGATCAATAGTTCCATAGGGTTTCTTTTAATTTTAAGCCCTACATGGGCTAAATATTTCAAGCAAAGAATAAAGACTGTCTCATCACAGAAAAAGAACTAATCTATATTGATTAAACCAGCAAGAGTCAAGAGTCGGCAAAGATGAGGACTGTACAGGCAAATAAAATACCTGTCTGCAATTCAGTAAGGCAAGTGTAGAGTTTCTGGAAACAAAATTTGAAAAAGGAATTATATTGATTGATATTTTATTTCTATGATAATTTTTTGCTGAGTCTATTATTAGTCTGAGACTTTCACCGGTGTTAACATTGTTTCAAAGATCTAATTACCTAACTCCCTACCTTGTATTAGAAACGCAGCAAGACTGTACCTCTCCACCTGTGATTAAAAATGGTGTTGTTCTTGGTCCATTATTGACAAGTTACAAAAATGGTTCCTCAGTAGAATATGGTTGTCAGCGTTATCATTTTTTGGATGGACCTAGTACTGTTTACTGCCAACAAGGAAACTGGACAGAACCACCAACTTGCTTCGGTAAGTTAAAGAGGTTAACTGTCTAAAGAAAACCTATGCTACCTGATGTGCTACTCACACTAAATTTTATGAACCTGTCAGAAAACAACCAAAACAATACTGACCTTGGATAACCTGAAAAAGCCCCAAAACAACACAAAATTTCCAAAAGGTTTTTGGAATATGTCAAAATTCTTTTAACAGTGACAAAACAAAGAAGAAAAACAAACAAAAAACCACACAAAAAAACCCAAAGGGAATTGTCAAAACACTTCTTATGTTAACAGTTTAAATTTACTGTGTATTAACAACTGTCCTTGAAGGGCTTACCAAACCTATCAGCCAAATCTGATGGGTCAGTTTTGATGGATGACTGTTGCTATTATAAAAAGTCCTTTCAAGTTACAGTAATAGTTTTCAATAGTAAACGTTGGCTAACGTATGTTTACCAATACCACATGTTGTCAGAAGTGTCCTTTTTCTGTTATTTTCTGTTCCCAATTTAGGCTGGGTTTGTTTTTTTTTAATGTTATTTCTGTTACTTCAGCTCATTTCTTTACATTTCCTAGAACCATGTATTCTTAATGTAACTGATATGAACAGCAACAACATACAGCTGAAATGGAGACAAGAAGAATTAATTTTTCTTCATGGCGATCTCATAGAGTTTGAGTGTAAACAGGGATACAGTTTTCTCCAGACTACCCTTCTGTCTCCTGGGAGGACACACTGCAGCCACGGCAGGCTGAAATATCCAAAATGCATTATGCAAGGTAAACCGATACTTTTTTATTACCTTTTTAATTAATCACTGCCAAACTTATTTAGAAATAATTTGCTTTGGCTGTGTGGGCTTAGAATCTATTGTAAATAATGGATGGTTAGAATTCAACAATACAGATATGCAGATACCCATGCACAAGACACCTATATTGTTAAATATATCCAAGCATGGAAAAACTATACAGTTTCTTTGATGGCTGTAGAAAGGAGGCAGGAGCTCATCTCCAAGCACAGAGAATTCAAAGCTCTGTAGAAAGATAGGTGCAGAACATTAAATGCACACAAGGGATTTCCTATAGTTAGAGTTAAGCAGAGATTGCTTTCTGTTCTGGGACATAATGAAATAGCAAGAAAATACATTGAGAATTGATAGGCGTCTAGTGTGGACAGGCATTTAAAGCTTCTGATTTGTTCATTTCTGAAGCTGACTGTTTTTCCAATGTTTCTAATGTCATTTCAGCTCCTACAGAAAAATGTGACTCTCCACCTTCTGTTGCAAATGGAGCTCTTACTCTCCCACCCCTAACTCAATATGACAATGGTTCTTCTGTTCAGTATAGTTGCTCTGAGTACCATTTTTTGCAAGGATCTGAGAAAATCTACTGTTCTGAAGGACAATGGACTTCACCACCAGTGTGTATAGGTAGGTTTGATAACATACATAAGAATTTATTCCTCTCTGTAATTCATAAAATCATAGAATACTTTGGAAGTTAGTTTTAAATGTCATCTAACCCACACCCTCTGCAATAAGCAGGGATGTCTTCAGGTAAATCAGGTTGCCCAGAGCCCTCTCCAGCCTGACTTTGGATGTTTCCAGGGATGGGTCATCTACCACCTCACTGGGCAACCTGTTCTAGTGTTTCAGTACCCTCACTATAAAAATGTACTCCTTACAACTGTCTGAATCAACCTTCTGGTTGAAAACCACTGCCCCTTGTCCTATCACAACAGGCCCTACTAAAAAGTCTGGCCCCATTTTTCTTATAAGCCCCCTTTAAGTATTAAAATGTTTCAGTGTCTCCCCAAAGCCTTCTCTTCTCCAGGCTGAACAACCCCAACCCTCTCTAAATTCAGATACTTAGAATTTATAAGTTGGATATCGTCAAGTAGAACTTTGAGATCTCAACTTCATTTTTTCTTTTTTCGAGATGAAAGTTTTAACAGGAGCCAGTGCAAGCTTGTCTGGCCTTTGGGTTTTTTTTTCCCCTCAAATATGATATGCCTGCAGTATCCAAATTTTCATGCATAGTATATTAGGAGAATGGGAAATAATCTATAATTTTAGTGTTGACTAGTCAAAACCATGCTACATTAACACTGATTACATCTCTTTTCTTTAGAGCCATGTATTTTGTCAAAAAGCGAAATGGAGAAAAATAATGTGCTGCTGCAAGGGTTCTATGAGAATCAAGTTTACTTTTACCATGGGGATTATGTTGGTTTTTACTGTAAACAGAACCATTTTGGAGCAGAATCTGGTACAACGTTATTTCAAGTGCAGTGTAAGAGAGGACAGCTGATGTATCCAAGGTGTGTTGAAAGAGAAAAATAAGTATGGACTTCAGGAAAGCCTACAGAAAAGGTATGTGCATGTTCTTTACCTGGTATTAACACCTGACTTAAAGTGATTGTACATTTTTAAGATCACTACAGTCAACTTTGAAAAATGAGTGATCAGTTGCATTGTTGGATTTGAGCTTGAAGGGAAAGGGAAGTGAAAGGGCTTTGTGGTGTGAGGACTCGGAGTGCAACAGAAGAATGTAATATTGGCGTATGCATGGAAAATTTAGGATGTAGGAGTTTCATAACGTTTACAGCAATAAACCTGAGGATGGATCACAATCTGGAAGGCCAGAGCAAAGCCACCACAATGATGAGATGCTGAGCAAGTAGTACCCTTTGTGAGGACATTGACAATTTTGAGAGCATGGATGCTTTTGTGACTACAGAATATAGCTAACTTGAGACTTTGTGCCCTTCAAATGGATGTTAAACTCTAATTTTACAGTGAGGCCTATTATTTTGTACATCCTAACAGCACCCATGTCTCCTTTCACAGGCAAGAACCCTCTAATGGACAAGGCTTGAAGTACGAGAATAAAAAAGCAAGTATAAACACAAAATTTCATTTAAGGGATCTATGAAACCATTTAAAACCTAAAAATGTGCAACTTCTATGGAATAGTTAATTATTATTCTTTAAAAAGTTCAAGCAAGCATCATTTTGCTAATTGAGAGCATTTAAATTATCAAAATATCTAGTCCAAATATTTTGTATGATTTCCTATGACACTTAAACATTGGTACTCTTGGAACTTTGCCTATGAAGATACGAAGAAATTTCAGGAATATGGACATTTGCCTTGCATCCATTTTATTATGTTTTAATAAAGATGTCACTGTAAGGGTTTCTTCTGTATTTTGTGTAAAATCCATCTTTCTCTGATATTATTGCATGTATGTGTGCTGTTCTGTATGGTTTTCCAGAGGTTTTGTGAGTCCAAAAGTACCAAAAAGAAATTCAAGCATTCAAGTGTCCTGGGTTCAGCAGTAGCAGTGATGTTTCTCCTTTGTGGTAGCTGGTGCAGTGCTGTGTTTTGACTTCCAGCCTGGGAACAGTGCTGGTGATACCAGTGTTTTCGGTTGTTGCTAAGTGATGTTTACCCTGACCAAGGACTTTGTGAGGCTCATGCTCTGCCAGGGAGGAGGGGAAGCCGGGAGGAAGCAGAGACGGGGCGCCTGACCCAGGCTAGCCAAGGAGGTATTCCATACCACAGCACGTCATGCCCGGGGTGGGGGGTAACTGGGTGTTACCCGGAAGGACACGGGCTTCTGGGTCGGACTCGTTTCTTGGCCGATGGTATCGTATTCTCTTCCCTTGTTATTTTCTCTTACCATTGTTGTCGTCGGTGGTAGCGGTGGTGATTTGTGTTGTACATTGGTTGCTGGACTGTTCCTGTCTCAACCCGTGGGAGTTGCACTCTTTCAATCCTCCTCTCTGTTCCTTCGGGAGCAGGGAAGGGGAGAGCCCTGGGGCGGGGGGCCCTCAATTGCTCTCAGCCTGGCACCACTCACTGGGAGTGAGTGAACAAGCTGACTGGCTAGGGTTTAAACCACGATATCAAGAAATAGGCAAATTCTGCTTATTTAATCAAAACCCAGCCAACCATTTGGGGGGGAGAAGAAAAGGTTGATAAAAATAGCTTTTTATACACTACTTACAGTAGCATTCCAAAATGCTTTCAAAAGATTAAAAAGCCACTGTTTTGTAAAGTGTTGTCTAAAAACTAAGACAAATAAAATGAGATTTAGCAACTTAATCTAACAGACTTCTGATGTATGACATGTAAATCCAAACTAGATGTTCACAGCTGTCACTTCTAGGGCATGTTTTGAACGACAATTGTAATGTGAATTCGTGAGTCTTTCTCAGTTAAGAAATACTGTAAGCATTCATTTAAACAAACTGATCATTTTTTAACCGGTAAAGTTTGGTGTATTGAGCATTGTTACCTTAATAGCTGGCACCTAGGCTTGCTATGTATCCAGAAACTATTTGTACTGTGCCTCAAATGTGTAGAAATTTATTTCAGTCTCTGAGTTTTTACACCCTAATAATTCCCGTGTCTATGACAGATAGATGAAAAAAATATTTCCCTTTAACATGAAAGATGTTTGCATGATGGACTAGATCTTGCCTTGATTGTAAGCAAAATCTTGCAAGGCAGCTACTACATCTGTGGCTGTATCAGTAACTCCACACGAGGTCAACATTACCTAGGTATCAGAATAAACAAATTTGGATTCCATGTAACCAAACTGGGATGAATGGGGGGAAAAAGTAATTTGGGGCAGGTTGTTTATTTGGAAGGATACTGTGGTGGCGAAAGGGAAGTACGAACATGGTGAAAAGAGGAACATTAAATAATAAAAAGAGTAATGTGGGGTGCACATGATATAATTCAGACTCTCTGGGGATACCAGTCAAGCAGCTCTATACTTGCTCACCTTAGTGCTGATTAGGCCAAAACCCTAAATCTGTAGTCTTGACTATACCACAGGGATCAAACCTGTTCCTATGGTCTGGAAGACTAATTCAGGGCATGGAAGGAGGGCTTATTCTTTAGCTAGCAGGGAAAAACACCTCAGAGAAATAACTGGAGCATCCACACATTATAAGTTGATGCCCGATGGCGTCAAAGTGTTCTCAGTTGCTTCCTAACACCAGCCTCTGCCAGTGTTTTTAATTCTCCTGTTCCTGTTTTTTTTGCAGCATGCTCAGGACAGCATCCAGGTATTTTCTCTGGTAAAAAAAAAAAAGTGCATTTCTTTCTTTTTCCCCTTTACAATTTTTCTGTTTTCATGAATTATCTGAAAATGAACTTGTTGCTTGAAATTTGAAATCTTGGACTATGTTATTTCTGTTAAGTAGCACGGCAGAATTATGTGAAAGAAAATGAGAGCTACAGCTTGGGTTTCAAAATCTGAAAAAGCTAAGAAAAATCTGTGTCAAATCTTGAAAATAAAGATTTACACATGAACATAACAAAACAATCTGAACACAAAATTCTCACAGAAGCTGATGAAGACACCGGAAGTGATCACGTTGTTTTTTGTAAGGTAGGTAAACTTTGTTAAGGACTCCTTTCCAGTACTCTAATTTTGCTGGAATATATTTGTGAATGTGAATGCATGTGGCCAGGCAGTGTGGGAAGACATAGAGCAGCTGCATACACTGCCGTCATAGCAGAGAAACTGCTGCAGGCACACAGCTCAGGCCTGCTGTTTTCCTAGTGTGGATGAGACACTGAAAGCACATCTGTCAAAACACTGTGCTTAGTGCATGTGGAATATATAGTGCAAATGAGGTTCAGTGATATATAAGCACAGGAGTGTTTCTGACCTCCTAAGTGTATTTGGAAGAAGAGAAAGAATTTTTTCTTTGACATTATTTGCTTAGACTTACCAAACCATGGTGCTGGAGTAACTTTTAAAATAACCATCAACATACCAAAGACCTCAATTTTACCCTTTATCAGTCCTGATTTTTTTTTTGCTGTGCTTTCTGCATAGTTAGGCGTAGGACTGCAGAAGAAGAATCATGTTGCTCAGGACCCTGTCTGGCTGAGTTTTTAATATCTCTGAGGAGATGTTTTCTAACCTTTCTGGGCAGCCTGTTCCAGCGTCTGCCTACCCTCATGGTGGATTTATTCTCCTAATATCTAATTGGAACTCCTTTTTCTGCAGATTTGTGTCTGTTGTCTCTCATCCCACCACTGTGCACCTCTGAAAAAAGCATGGCTCAGTCTACTCTGTCATTAGGAAGCCAAAACCAGAAATAAGTGTCCTCACAGCCTTCTCTTAAGAAACAGTTGAAAAAGATAATTCTGACTTGGGAGTAGGTAGATAATATGATAACATTTCTGCACCAAGTTTGGCTTGTGCAAAGTTTTTCAAGATCAGCCTCTTATTTTTATCATAGAATGGTTTGGGTTGGAAGGGACCTTTAAAGATCATCTTGTCCAACCCCCCCATCATGGGCAGGGATGTCTTCCACTAGAGCAGGTTGCTCCAAGCCCTGTGCAGCCTGGCTTTGAACACTGCCAGGGATGGGGCAGCCACAGCTTCTCTGGGCACTCTGTGCCAGGGCCTCAGCACCCTCACAGGGAAGAATTTCACTAAAAGAATAAGAATTTCTTTAAAAAAATTTTCTTCTTTAATCCAAATTCATTCTCTTCCAGTTTAAAACTATTCAATCATGAGAGACAGGCCTTTCCTCTTGCATAACAATCTTGCACTTACACATGTTTTGATCAGATGGAAAAGACGTTCAGATTTATTTATGGATTCTTGCCGCTGTGGTACATAATAGAGAAAACTGACTTTTGCCTGGATATAAACTCACAGACCAGGGCAATTCCTGCAACCATCAAAGTTCTGAGTGCTGTATGTGCTGATGCAGACTGGCACATTTTAACAAAGTTGAATCTTTTCCCTGGTGAGGTTTCAACAACTTCTGTATTTTCTTTAAAGTGTTTCATGCAGTAAAGCTGTGGGTCTGTTGTCCAGACCTGTTGCCTTTAAAGAGCTCTGGGTTAAGCATAAGAATATTTGGTAAATGTAAAAAGCCCTTTTTAAAGAGCAGAACTGGGACTGAGAAAGTTGGGTCTGTTCAGCCTGGAGAAGAGAAGGCTGCGTGGAGACCTCATAGCAGCCTTTCAGTATCTGAAGGGGGCCTATAGGGATGCTGGGGAGGGACTCTTCATTAGGGACTGGAGTGATAGGACAAGGGGTAACAGGTTAAAACTTAAACAGGGGATGTTTAGATTGGATATAAGGAGGAAATTCTTTCCTGTTAGGGTGGTGAGGTACTGGAATGGGTTGCCCAGGGAGGTTGTGAATGCTCCATCCCTGGCAGTGTTCAAGGCCAGGTTGGACGAGGCCTTGGGTGTGAGGTGTCCCTGCCCATGGCAGGGGGCTTGGAACTAGATGATCTTAAGGTCATTTCCAACCCTAACTATTCTATAATTCTATGAAAATGGGGGGAAAGTCAGTCTGCAGAACATGTGGGAGAAGTAGAATTCAGAGCAATTTCCAACGTTTTAAAAAATGGTAATCTACTTTCTGGAGTCCTGATGTGAAATCACTGGGTTTTGAAGTCAGAAAGGTATCACAGGCCTGCAGTTCAATAACTGATATCAGAAGGGAAAGATAGCTGTCTTGGAAATTTTGGGTAGAGCGGATACAAGAGCAGCATTGCACCATTCAGTGGCATGTCATTTAAATTTTCTTAATCAGCAGCAGATTTGGTAGAGCAAGAGGATAGTAATTTCTACTGTAAGCTTTCTGTTCAATGACACTGACAAATCAAAGGCCCTGCTATTCTCGTCCAACAAGAATGGTCATCTAGTCAGGGCTGTGCAAAGGCAGTCAGGTTCTCGCTTATCTGAGCAATGCCTTCAGGCTTTTTCAGCCCATAGCAGTATTGCAGAAGGCTCGTGTTGCTGAGTATCACCCTGTATCAAGGCAAAGCCAAAGTGATTTTACACAGAGAGTATAGTCCTCTTCTACCCTGGTGTGGAGATCTGATCTTTTAAACAGTGCCTGTATTTCCTCCTCTGAGTACAAGGAAACATGATCTTGAATAGGAAGAACACTTTCTTTTGTCTTTTTTTTTAGAAAAAGAAACCTACATATTTTGTAATAAAAATTATGTAACCTGTTTGGAGCTAACTGACTGGAAATGGCTGCCTGATCAGCAACTGTTGTTTAGAAAATGTAACTCAGTGTTTTCCAGCTACTCAGTTACAAATGAGTCCAAAAGTTAATGACCTGTACAGATCTATAAAAGTTAATGATCTATAAAAAGGAACAGGAATGGTGGCATATAGTGTGGAAACTAATTTTATTTTAGTTTGTGTTTTTTGTTTTTCTTAGTGCTATACTAAAAGGAAAAGTTCCTGAGTGAGAGGCCAGTCTTTCTGAAGCACAGGAGGATTAGAAGATGAGGAGGAACTGAGCCAGAAAGACTGCACTCAGTGAAATCCAGAAAGCTTTCTTATATACTGTTTGTGGGGTTTGGTGTTTTGTGTTGAAAACCTACCAGGACTCCATAAACAATAAACAGTCCTTAGGGCATGTTAGAGTAGCATGTAAGAATCTAAAATACAAATAAATACTTCATGTCTCTAGAAATATTAGTTGCATGTTTATATTTCATGGTTTTCTCCAAAGAATGTGCTTAGTTCCTTAAGAAAATGGTTAATATAGGTGTTAATATTAGGCATTTGTCACTGAGAGTTTTGTGGATCATTAGAAAAAAGCCTTTTGGAAGGTACTTTCAAGTTCTGCCTGTTGTATAAAGTGGCATATCAATGATGAAATTAATTTTGTATATATAGTAATAGCAGTATCTGTTGATCCTCAGATGGATGTTACCATTCAGCAAACAAAACAATGCCATATGTGTTTTTAAGGGAGAAAAACAACTCAGTCGGTTGCTATGCTAGTTAATCCTGTATTTCACAACAGTTCATGGCAGCAAGCACATTGGAAGAAAAAAAAAAATCCCCTTGAAAAGAAGATTGTGTAAAGAAACTCCACAGAAAATAATCTTTAATATATTTGTAGCATTGTGACATGAGGAGCTCAGTTTGCTCAAAGTCATCCTGCTGGTGCAGCCCAATAAACATGGGTTTTGCCTTCACTAATTAAAGAACACAGGCTCTGCACTGACTTTGCAGTGAAGGATATCTGGGCTTATCTGGGTTTGTCTTGAGCTGATTTTAGCTTATTCAGCTGTGATAGCAGTTGTTCAGCAATCACCCCACTGGCTGCCTAAATGTGTTTTAGCTCTAATTCTTACTAGTAACAAGCACTTATTGAGCTATCTCTGACTCCAGACTAAAATGTGGTGTGGGAAAGGAGAATGCGGATGATATAGGGGTGGACAGAGATCAGTGACTATAAAAACCATGGTGGTCAAGCAGCAGCCCCAGCACAAGTGCATCTTGGTTTTATGCAGGTAAATCCAGTTTTAGTGAACAGAGACACTGAATAACTGGGATCCAAGCCAGTGGACTGTTAAGACTGTTAAGAAAATACATTTAAACACAAGCTTAGGAGGAAGGGACCCCTGCTACTTGAATTGAACTCTTCTCAACAAAGACCCTTGTGCACTAATGGATCACTGTGGCATTCCCCTCCTGTCTTGCTTGATTTTAAGCAAGAGAATAAAATTATGGGCTGCACATATAAGGTGGTCCATAACAAAATCTAAAGTTTGAAGAGCTAAGTGCACTGTATTGTGTGTTACAAACATACAGGAGATTTTGGTTATGGGCTTCATAATGCTTCTGTGTCAAGTTCAGTCTGAAAAGCTTTGTTAATAAAAAGCATCGAAGCCTTTTTGCAACAATTGCATAATTTATCTGTATAGATTGACTGCTGTGTTGCAAGAAAATTATTGGAGGCGATTGCAAGGACAGCCTCAGGAATCATGGGAGTGAATACAGGAACATGCATTTCTGGGCACAGAAAGCAGTGGCTGTTGCAGAGGACATCTTTAACTCCTAAAGCTTGAAAATGACACTGTTGCACCACACCATAGTGTTCCTGCTGTGGATGGGCTGTACTACATATAAAGGTAAGTTATTAAATGTAAATCTACATTTTAATCTAGGTAGCTGGTGACAATCAAGAAAAATGAACTGCAAAAACTGCGCCATCTATTTTTTACAGAATTCCTTTCAGAAGTTTGACATAAGAGTTATAATTTAGACCTATAAACTATGCATTTGAGAATATTTGCCTTGTATCTCCTTGTACGAGCTTGGTTTTTTTGCCTTGTGCCTGAACTTAATGACTCTCATCAATAACCTCACTTACTTACAAGCCATAACTCACTTAAAATGCATTAGTCCATATAAATTCCTTTGTATTTAAATTTAGCTACTATTATTTTGAATATATACTATTAAAAATGCAAAATACTGATTTGATTTTGAATCATAATACAACTCTTTAAAAATACAAGTACTTTAATATTTCAATAAGTTCTATCAGACAAAAAAACCATACTGCCTGAAGGAGGTCTTCACTGTATATATACCTTTATTAAAATAATCAGTTTTAAACTCTACGATTGATCCATTTAAATGTATTAATCACATTAAGATTATTCTCTCCCCTCTGCCTTTAAAAGTGCTTTTTTGTATATAATTTGTACCTTAAGAAAAAGAGATCCAACTTCCTCCATTTGGAACTAATTTTAGAAGTCTGGGACAAACAGATTTATTTGTAGAATTGAGAAAAACTGAGAATTGTGACTGCATGTCTAAAACTTTTTTCCAGGATAATGCTGGAAAAAACAGAAACTGTACTTTGAGAATTTCAGGTGCTTATTCATATTTTCAATTAAAACCTTTTCAGTTTGGTAACTTTTTTCAATGCAAAGACTGTAAAAATAGTGAAGACAATGATAATTTCTTAGAGCAAAGAGTTGGTGCTGTTTATTAGTATTGTATATTCCCAAATGGAGGGATGTCAGTAATTGAAATATTATTTAACTCCTGTGTACTGCCATTATTTGCAGCTGTCACTATTGTCCTATATCTATCAGTTAACAAGAATTTGTACGTGGTTTCTGCTAGAATAGCATTGGAAACACCCACCCATCACTGATTTTGAAGAAATTGCTATTAGGGAAAAATAAGGACAAGAAGAAAATGGGAACATGCAGTCAAATAACAAGAATCTGTGCACAGCTTCTGCAGGAGCAGCCTGTAAAGACCCACCAATTGCTGACTTTGGAGAAATTGTTAGTGGGAATAAATCAGCATATAAGGAAGGTGACCGTGTGCAATATGTGTGCAACCCTGGATACACTTTATCAGGATCAGAATGGGTAACATGCTTTAAAAAAATCTGGGTACCTGGGCCACCAAAATGTTTGGGTAAGTGTAACTTTTATAATGATTCTGAAACTTCTACTTTGTTAGGTTTACAGTTGTTGCCAGATTACCAAATCTGGAATGGACCATAATTAATCCCTGGATTCAGTGCTGCTTAACTTGTGGATCTTGGCCTTTAGTGTTCTAAAACCATTTACACTCAGTTGTGTTTTTTATTGCAAGAATTTTTGAGCTGTCTGGAAGATTACAAGCAGATAAACATTTTGCCTGTACTTCCAAGAACTTGTGCAACAAGGTACAGGTACTGACAATGGTGTCTGCCTCCTTCCACAATGATTACATTAGTTAAAACATCCTTTCATGTAGTTCCTAACTGTCCCACATATGTGGGAAGATTGCTGTTGTGATAAGATGCTTTGTAATCTTCAGTTTTGTCCTTGCAGCTCCTTGATAGGAGCCTTCTAACTGGGATAAAATTGGACATAATCCCGCAGATTTCATTAATTATTTCAAGGACTATAATCTCCTGAAGTCAGTACTTCTTGACATCTTCACTGCTGTTCCCAAAGTCTATAAATATGCTTGGAAGTAGTGGACATCATTGAAAAACTTCCTAAAACTAAGCACTCTGAATTAACTGTGATGGAGAATCAAATGTTTTAAGTCATCCGCATTTTACTTTTAAAAATCACTGCTGAGTGATAACCAAGCTGGTTTTGAACTATCTTTGCTGAGGAGGTGCTTCACATAGTAAAAGCCACCAAATATTCATACTTCATAATTTTTAGTTTTTCTTGTTTCCTTCAGCACCGTGTACCGTTACAAGACAGCAACTGGAAGCCCAAAACCTGCTTCTCTCCAATGGACAAAGACGAGCATTTTTGATTCAAAGTGGTCAGTGGGAGATATTTGCATGTGTGACAGGATTTAAACTCGCATCCTCTCCTATCAAACAGTGTTTTGATGGGCATATTGAGCTTCCCTCATGTATTTCTGGTAAATATGTGCCATACTTGAATAAAATTGATTGGTCAAATACATCTTCTCTATGATTTTGCAGTTGTTCATGTACATGAACTGCATCTGCCTGTGCTACCAGAGACTGTTTCTTCTATGGGAAATTGATTTTCCCACCACAAATGCACTCGCTGATGATAAGGTTGTGTGTAAACCCAGTGCAAGAAGGCAAGTCACCAAAATCAAAGATGCATGACGTGAGAGAATCTCTCCCTTCCTTCTTACTTAAACCAAACACAAAAGCAGATTTCAAATTATGGTTATAATGTATGTTTCCAAATTTGCTCATCAGGAATAAATCTTTTGGTTTCTACAATTGTATAATTTCTTGATTTTTTTCTCATTTTATTTTTGTGCCTTCTTTGGGTAACAGGAGTACAAATGATATGATGTCATAAGTGAAGACATCTATTGCAAGAAATGTTGAAGGATCTGTAATTCAGTTGCTAAAACATTACCAATGCAAGTGGTATCTTATAAGCAGAAGTCCATTTAGTGGTAGAATGAAGTGTTTTCAGAAATGGAGATAGCTCAACAAAGGACAAATGAGATGACTGATGTGCACAAAGTGCCAAACATGCCTACTTTCAAGCTGCACAGTTCTGATGCCATGCGTTTTCAAGGAACTCTCTGCAGGAATCAGTCTTCTCTTAAGGAACTGTACACTTCTAGGAGTGACAGATAAATGTAACCTTTTCTTTGCCCTAAGAAACATCTGCTTAACAATTCCACACAGTTATGCTCAATATACAATAAAAATAAAAACTTACATAGTAAGTATAAACATGTTCTTCAAATTAGCAAATATTTTTGCGCGCTAAAACATCTATATGGTGGAAAAAGCACACTCATTCTATTGTATATCACATTAGCACAGGCATCAGCTCTCCGTATCTTTTGATAAAATGCCATGTGGAAATACCTCTCTTTTCAGATGTTACGTGTGGAGCTGCACCTGAAATTCCCCATGCGTACATCACAAGCACTCAACAGGAGAGGTATCTGCCCGGTGCCAGAGTGCACTTTGAATGCGAAAGCAATTTTCAGATGGTGGGTGGAAATTATATCACGTGTACAAATGGAGAATGGTCACAAGCACCAACTTGCAAAGGTAGGAATCCGTGCTTTGGTATCGCCTGTTAGCACAGAGGGGACAGTTTCCCTAAACGCTAAAGACTTTACCGTTTGTACTCCTCTTCGCTTTGTGTACCACAGCTTAGTACTTGCTATTCCTTCCTTGGGCGTCACTTTTTACTTTAGCTTAATGCTTCTAGAAATACTGGGGATCTTTTCATCAGTGCCAAAAATGTCTTGGAGAAGCAGAGCCTAAAATGTGCTGCTCTGTCATTCTGCTGTACGATGCTGCTGTTTCCCCAGAGGCTGCCATTTCGGCCTCCCTCTGTAGAAAGACGCATGAGGGCTCCTCTGTCCTGTCCAAACCCGCCAGGGAGCACCTGAATGGAAGAAGCAGTAAGGGAGGGAAGCGCTTGTTCTTCTCCAGGGCTCTGCTCTGACCGATGCGGATCCCAGCAGAGACTCAGATCTAAACCATGGCAGATCTGCTGGGGCCATGAAGTGGGAAGAGTGCTCCCGTGACAAGGAACCATCAGGAGCTGTGCTCCTGTCCCCTGCCCAAGTCTGTGGCTGCGCAGGGTGAACAAGAGCTCCTTGGCTTCCGCACATCTCCGTGGAGCTGACTGCGCTCACCCATCCCTGAGCAGCGCTGATGAGCTCATCCAGTGCTGCCACTCCTCCAGAGCTCTGAGCTCCGCAGAGCGCCAGCTTGGTGCTGCCCTGTGATTTCCAGGCATTCCAGGGCTCCCTGGGGAGGGACACGGGTGCGCAGGAAGGCCGGTGTGGCTTCTCGTGCAGCCAGGTGTAGCTACAGTAGAAACTGGCTGTTTCTGGAAGCTGTCACTGACCCTGCCTTCTCCTGAGGGTCCCAGAAAGAGAGTTCTCTCACTCCATTGCTACCTCCACAGTGAGTTCCTGGAGCTGTGACCCACCCGAGGCAGAGAATCCCGGCAGAAATAGGAGCAAGGGTGCAGAGGGGAACAGCTCAACCCCTGCAACCGTGACTGCAGCCGTGTCTCGTTTCAGATGTGACGTGTAAACCTCCTCCTGAAATCGCTGGCGGGAAAGTTCAAGGTGTTAAGAAGTCGAGGTACTTGCCTGGGGAGAACGCTCGCTACCAGTGCTGGCGAGGTTTTGAGATGACCGGGGCTCCCACCGTAGTGTGTCAGAACGGGACCTGGACAGAGCTGCCAACGTGCACAGGTGATTCCTCTCTCTTTCCGTGCAGTCGCCTGCGGGCGAGACTGTCCTGGAGCTGACGCCGGGGCATTTGCTTTCCCATTTCAGTCTCGCTGCTGTGCGCAGACCCAGCGTATCTGGCGCAGACCCGACGTATCTGGTGCTCCCAGGAAAAAGCCCTTTTGCTGGGCTCTGTTCAGATGAGGTTTCCAGCCGGGAGACCCAAGTGGCTTCAGTCGATAGGGACACATCTGGAGAATTACCCTGGGGCTGGGAGCGGTTGCTGGCCAGGCCTGATTTTGAGAGGCAGCCCTTGACTTCCTGGGCTTTCTCTCTGATTGACTGGGAATTTCCTTCCAGGGGAAGGTGGGAAATGTGGCTCGCCTCCGGTTATTGAAAATGGAGACCTTCTGTCCTTCCCCATGCAAGAATACCCGGAAGGTGCAACTTTGGAATACAAATGCCCAGACTTCTACGTCCTGGAAGGATCTCCATCTATCACCTGCACTGATGGGCAGTGGACAAGCCCCCCAGTTTGCTTAGGTAGGCTGAAGCATGTGCTGTGTGGCCAGAGGCTGTGGGACTGCACCTGTTGGAGCCCGAGGGCAGAACCTGTGCGGCAGCGCGTGTGCTGGGGCTGCAATGAAGTAGGGCAGAGCAGCAACGAGTCCTCCCTTTGCCCACAAGGAGCTGGTCCCTAACTTTAGGTCTTGCAGTGCCCTCTGCTGCCTGCCAGGCGAGCGGGTTCAAGAGGAGGGGAGTTTGGCTGAGCCCTCCTGTGTGAGGGGATCTCCACCTGTGTGCTGGGCCCCTGAGTGCACCCGAGCTGGGGAAGCTGCTACGGCCAACTGGCAGTGAGCACGGAGGGTGGGTCTGAGTGCAAGGCACTGCTGGGGAAACGCAGGGTCATGTCCATGGCACAACCACAGGGAAACGAACGTAGGGAAGTTGCGGGCAGAAGGGAAGGACTGATGGAGGAAAAGACACGGGAGGCTCGTTGAGGACCTTCCCACCCCTGCTTCGATCTTGCACTGTG